AGCAGTTTTTACTGCTGTCAGCAGCCGGTTGAGAGATGGAAGGAAACCTCTGAGGTCAGTGAAACAAAGAGGCTGTTACAGCACCCACAGTCTTCCTCACACCGGTCACAGATTCGGTGTGAGCAGTCTCAGTCAGCCACAGCAGACGTCGGGACGTTTCTGGTGGAGTCGCTGTGTCTCTGACACACAGTGAGCAGCAGAGTCCTTAAACGTCTGCCCTGCGAGCTCTCACACAGACAGGTGGAGAATAAAGGAGTTAAAGTGCGACCTGCTCTGATCCTTGAACTTTTCTGTCTAGCACGTGTGGCTGATTTATCTCAGGTTCAGGAACTTATTGTTCGTTTCAACTGTCCACATGAAACATGGATGACTGTAACACTCGGATACTGTTCCCAGTATACCCAGGATATTGTTCTGTTCTTGTCTGGCATCGGCAGTCACGTGAAGGTGGTTCATCTGTCTGGCTCTGAGCTTGTCGTAGCATGTGGCCAATCAGAGATGTGGACTGTGCGTGCGTGTGAGCTAACAGCCTTGTGTTACCTCATGATGGTGCTTAACGCTGTGAGAGGAAAGAAGACCAACCGCCAAAAATCAGACACTCAAACGGTCTGAGAGAGATCTGATTGGTCAGGATGTGCCCATCTACACCTGTTGATCTAGAACCCAGCTCGTTAGGTATGCAGCATCAGTTACCATGGTGACTGCCTTCATCAGACTGTAAACTCAGTTAAACCTGAAGTTATCTGCATAATCAAAGAGCTGACCTCAGATCAGTGTCAAAGGTTAGTCAGGTCGTTTCTTCGCTGACGCTGCGCTGCCCTCTGAGTGTGGCAGACGAGCTATCTGCAGGTGGTGATGTCACACGTGCTGCCACGTGGGCCAAAGTCAGCTTGATGGTGTTTTCATTCAATAGTCCAGCGTGTGCTTACTTTATCTGATCTAAAGCATTGATCGTTCCTGGGTTATCAATAGGAAGTATTGATTCTTCAGACCAACTTTAATTCTTCTTTTCTGCGGCGGTTTGAAAGCACGTCCACTCTTTACAAACACTAATCGGGCCGTATCCCAGCGGAC